CCCCCCCCCCGCCCCGCCCCATCCGCAAGCCCATCTGCCCGATCCTCCATCCCCGATGTTGCGTGGAATATTTTGCAGACCAGGAGGCTCAGCCATTCGAGCCCCGCAAATGCAGAGCTTCGATACATGGGGTGGCGGTGGAGGTGGCGGCGAGGGGGGCGGGGGTGTGCTTGGTGCAGTATGCATGTTGATGGTGAGGCTACTGTCCTGCGGGCGTCGGGGTACCAAGCTGGCGCCGATGGACGTGACGCTGGACGAGGAGACCGAGGAGCTCGTGGAGATTCTTCAAGGTGACTACGTTTGAGGCGGCGCCTGCTATTCTAGCGTTGTGTACGCCATTGTCGTTGTCGTCGCCGCTATATGGTTGCATTTTTCGGTGCTGCAGGAGGATGCAACGAGATTATTTGTTCGCTGCTGATTTTAACTAGAAGCCCCGGTCACGGGGGGGAAGCGTTGGCAGGTCGTCTTGACTGAACTGACTTGTGGCTGATGCCAGGGTGTTACCAATACACACGGTTGTTCTCCACTTTCGATGGGGTTAGCTTTTACTTTGCGACTAATGCTGTAGTTGCCTTGTGTTCTCCCACTTCGGGGTTACACAACCGGTGGCAAGAGCTGGGGGATCCGGCGTGAACGCATCTCTTGGTTGCCTCCGTCATTAGCCACTTGGCGACGTGCTCGTTTTTGAGATCGAGCACCGTTCACAATCCACCATTCGAAACGCGCTCATGTACCTGTCGAAGTATCTTGTTGCGGGCGCGAGGGCTGCTAAGTCTTCGGGAGTGGTTCCGAAGGCCAACCATTGCCAAGCTCGAGGGATTGTTTTTTTTTTATTCACGCACGTTTCCCAAAGACATGCTCGACATTGTCGTTGTTGTTGCTGTGTTAAATACATCGGGTTTACAGCTCGAGGGAGAGTTTGGAGATTCACGCACGGCCCAAAAACACTTTCTCTACCTTGTTGTTGTTGTTGTTGTTGTTGTTGTTGTTGTTTTGTTGTTGTTGTTGCTGCTACTGCTGCTCCTGTTGTTGTCGTTGTATTGAAAACATCCGGCTTTCGTGCGAACATCGCTCGCAGTCTCGAAGGCCCACCTCGCAAAGCTCCGAGGGATCTTCGAGAGCATCGATGTCGGCAACACCGGGACCGTCTTCTGTTACGAGGTGCTGTCGGCGGTGGGCATAGCGCAGTCTCCCTTCACGGACAACCTCTTCCGATTGGTCGGTACGCATGTTTGCTCTGTTGCGAATCATTCAGTGTTCGAGCTCGCGCGCTTCCTTTGTTTAGCCTTCTGTCGAAAATCTGTTTGGGTGTTTCCAGCATGCCGGGTAACTCTGCCCGACGTACGTGGGCAGCCGCGCACGATCGGGCGCTACAGAACGCGCCACCACCTAGTCTAAGAACCTTTTTTATAATTTTTTTTTTTTTGCGAAAAGTGTGGCCCGTTTAGAGGTACGCTTTTTGTTTTGCAAAAAAAACTGTTTAGAGGGATCGTGCGTGGAGTATGTGCGCACGAGAAAAATAATAATTTTCATGCACACGGGCGTGAAAATTACGCGATGGCTGTCTGTCTGTCTGTCTGTCTGTCTGCGCGCCCTAAATACCCAGCAGACTCGAGCCCATTTCACCATCTCGACACCAAATTGCAAACTAAAACTTGCGCACAACAAGTATCATTTTGCCCGAGCTGTCTCAACCGCTACCTTTGCAATCCGTGGTCGGTGTCTCGAGATAGCACACCGTTTGTGCAAATATATATGTCACATGGACGCATCCCCGGGAGGCGTTATTTATGTTTCTTTTTGGGCAACAAACTACACGCACGCAAGAAACCACGACGCACTGCCGTGCTGCACACACTGCTGCTGCTGCTACTGGCAAGACACGCACTACACAGAGACAGGGAACATGGACAAGGGGGGCGGGACACACACACATACTGCTGTTAGCGACGGCGGAGGAAGCGGGGAACGTTTGGTTGGTCTGGGGTTCATCGCTGATGATGTTGTCGTTGTTGTTTCCGTTGGTTGTTGTTGATCAACGCTGCCGGCCTTTTCGCCTTTTCTCTGGAGAGAGAGGGAGTCCCACCAACCAGCGTGTGTTGCACACACCACACAGCAAGAGCGGGACTTGAGCAGGGTGTGCCCTATACTACTGCTGCTGTTAGCTTTCGGCGGAGGAAGCGAGAGGAGAGATATTGATTGGGTCCCTGTGGGTCCATCGGTTGGTTGTTTTTTTTGTGTTGCCACGCGGCGGGAGGGAGCGGCCTCTGCTCTGGAGAGAGGCACACATACATCACAGCACGGAACCAGTAACACATCACGCTCGTTCTTAGACGATGTTGTACCACTGCTGTGCTGTGCACCTCTCTACACTCATTGTGGGCGAGAGGGTGTGTCGCCTCTGCTGCTGCTGCTGTTGCTGTTTTCTAAAGCGGTGGCGGAAGCGTCCTGTTCAAACAATCAGCAGCAAGCACCAGCACCGGGGAATTATTCAACGTTAATATTTTCCTCTCTAGCTGATGACGATGGATAGCACCCCCCCCCCTCTCTAGCTGGTGACGATGAATAGCACCCCCCCCTCACTGCTGATGCTGGACACCACCCTCCCCTCTAGCGAATGATGATGGATACCACCCCCCTCTCTAGCTGGTCATGATGGACCGCCCCCCGTTCTTCTGTAACAGACGCACGAGCCTACTGCAGGTACTTTTGTGCAACCACCACAAAAAACTATTCCACCTCCAACTCTAGTAGTTTCGGCCGAGGGTGTGGTTGTTGCTGTATTCCTAGGGTCATGCTACGAATGGTCGCTATAACGGTTTGGGTGTAGGGTTTCATATCCGAGCTCACAAGTGGTGCTCAAGTTCTTCAAGCTTTCTTTTTTTTTGGCTCAACAATATCTTAACTCCCGAGTACATGAAGTGCGGGCGCGTCCTTGACGTCACGCCACACGCCCTCGACCCGTGCCGTTGGCTGTTGTCCTGTCGCTGCTGCGAGCAGGGGTTCACCCGGAAGGGTCTCTGTCGTTTTGCCAGCTCTGTCGGATCTTGATGACCTACTGCGTCTTCTCCAAGGAGGATATCTTGCTCTGTGAGTGGGTTGGTCTACCGCGAAAATTCTAGCTGCACTATCAATGTATCGTTTCATTGATGACTCGGACCCGTTCAAGTACTGCATCAAGCAGGCGCACCCTGCTACTGAAAACAACAAAGCTTGCCTGTCTGGTTGGCTGATCCACAAAACGGCCGGCTTTGGCCTTCGTCGCTCATACACGACAAAGATTGATCTTCATTCCTCCTCTTCCCAGTAAGATCACGGCCGTGCTACAATTATGTGAAGTTCCCCTCTGCTATTGCGTTGGTTGTTTCCCGAAGTCTTGTTTCGGCAGTACGACACGGACGATAGCGGAGCCATCGACGAGAGCGAGTTTCGCGAGCTGGCCAAGACGGTCAACAACGCATCGCCGATGTTTCCGGGAAATTTCGCCAAGGCCCTGCTCGACTTTGATACGTGAGTCAGGCAATTAGAGAGAAAGAGGCAGACAGAGGGAGGGAGAGGGAGAGCGAGAGAGAGAGAGAGAGAGAGA